TCGAGGAATAGCGAAGGTAAGACATAAAGTGCGCGAACTGGGTGCCGGTTGTCTCCGTTGAACATCGCAGTGCTGACGATGAGAAGACTGAGTGACTGCATGCTTTCGAAACGTAAGTTTCTTTACCTGCAGGGGTAAAGAAACTTCGGAAATGAACACAGTTCGCGGAAAGCTCGTGTTACGTTTTTATTTGCTGCTCCTCTCGCTTCGTACAATAGACTTAGTGTTCTCGTTAAGCCTTATCGAGCTCGATTTGCTCGATTCGTGGCCGCCATAATGAGATGCAGTCGACGGAGGAACTTTTGCTCCCCTGCTGAAGGGACGAACGTTTCTCCCTTTCTGAAGGAACATATGTGTCAAGAGCGTTCCTCCCTTTAGGGAGGACTATACTGACCCTTTTTTCTAAGAGTGTGGCTACTGGCAGATTGAAGTCGACGAACGCGACCGGGAGAAAACTGCCATCGTCACTCCCGACGGACGGTAACGATTTCAAAGTGATGCCGTTCGGGCTTTGTACTGCGCCAGCCACCTTCCAGCGTGTCATGGACACCGTGCTGGCAGGTCTGAAATGGCAGAGCTGCCTCGTCTACCTCGACGACGTCGTGGTATTTTCACGAGATTTCGACGAGCACCTGAAACGGCTTCGAGCCGTGCTTCAAGCCATCAAGACCGCCGGCCTGTCACTCAAGCCAACAAAGTGTCGATTCGCCTATGGTGAACTTAAGTTCCTTGGCCACGTCGTGAGCAACAAAGGTGTTCTCCCTGACCCTGAGAAGACCCGCGCCGTGGCTGCATTTACGCCGCCGTCTGACAAGAAGGCCGTGAGAAGATTCCTGGGACTTTGTGCCTACTACAGACGATTTGTTCGGGACTTCGCCAAGCTGTCCGCACCGCTGACGCACCTCACGAAGGACGCCGTAAAGTTCGAATGGACAGACGAACACCAGCAGTCATTCGATGAGCTGAAACGAAGACTCCAGACGCCCCCGATTCTTGGCCATTTCGACCAGTTCGCTGATACAGAGATCCACACGGACGCCAGTAACACCGGACTTGGCGCAGTGCTAGTTCAAAGGCAGGACGGGGCAGAGCGAGTCATCGCATACGCGAGTCGTACGCTGTCTAAGGCGGAGAGGAACTACTCTACAACTGAAAAGGAGTGCCTTGCTGTCGTCTGGGCAATAACAAAGTTTCGCCCATATCTGTATGGAAGTCCTTTTCGCGTGGTCACGGACCACCACTCGCTCTGCTGGCTCGCGAATCTGAAAGACCCCTCCGGACGCCTCGCCCGGTGGAGCCTACGACTGCAGGAGTTCGACATGACCGTTGTGTACAAGTCCGGCCGGAAGCATCATGACGCCGACTGCCTGTCAAGAGCTCCTGTCGAGGCCAGTCCTGCCTGTATCGAAGACGACGACGATGAGTGTTTCCTCGGCGCTTTGGACGTCAGCGACATGGCAGCACTCCAACGAGACGACCCTGAAATGCGAGCGCTCATCGATCACTTAGAGGGACAAGCGAGTTCGGTTCCCCGTGCTTTCTTAAGAATCCTGCATACATTTTCCATGCGGCGAGGGGTGCTGTACAAGGAGAACTTCGTCAACAACAACACAGCATGGCTGTTGGTTGTTCCTGCCAGCATTCGAGACGAAATATTCCAAGGATGCCATGACGACCCAACGGCTGGACACCTTGGCTACAGCAGGACGCTCGCCAGGATTCGAGAAAAGTACTACTGGACGAGGCTACCGAAGACCGTTCACCTATACATTCGATCATGCCACGAGTGTCAGCGACGCAAGAAACCGCCAACGAAGCCGTCAGGACTTCTGCATCCGATTTCTCCCCCGTCTATGCCGTTCCAGCAGATCGGAATAGATTTACTTGGCCCTTTCCCATCGTCAACGTCGGGAAACCGCTGGATTATCGTCGCCACCGATTATATCACACGGTACGCCGAGACGAAAGCCCTTCCAGCAGGCACGGCTGTTGAAGTCGCCAAGTTTTTCATTGAGTCCATTGTCCTCCGGCACGGCGCCCCTGAAGTCCTCATCACAGACCGTGGATCTTCGTTCATGGCCCAGCTGACGCAAGAGATCCTTCGTCTCAGTGGCACCGGCCATCGTCGAACCACTGCATACCACCCACAGACCAACGGGCTGACCGAGCGACTCAACAAGACAATCGCCGATATGATCTCTATGTACGTCGACGTAGAACACAAGACGTGGGACGAGGTGTTGCCCTACGTCACGTTCGCCTACAATACGGCGGTTCAGGAGACCACTGGATTCACCCCTTTCCAGCTGGTACATGGTCGGAAGGTCACGACCATGCTGGACGCAATGCTGCCCCATGAGCCATCTGTAAATGAGAGCGACGACGCCCAGGCGGTTGCTCAACGCGCCGAAGAAGCCCGCCAGCTCGCCCGACTCATGATTCAAGACCAGCAACGCGTCGACGCCGGCCGCTACAACCTTCGTCGCAGGGACGTTCACTTCCAGCCCGGAGACAGGGTGTGGGTGTGGACGCCCATCCGTCGCCGCGGCCTCAGTGAGAAACTGCTGAAACGGTACTTTGGACCATACAAGGTACTTCGTCGCCTCGGCGAGCTGAACTACGAGGTGATGCCTGACGGAACAAGAACATCATCACGCCGCCCACCACGACCTGAAGTCGTCCACGTCGTGCGCCTGAAGCCTTACTACGCTTGATAGGACTGCGGATCTTATGTGTTTCATATGACTCTTTAGTTTGCCGTTCTCTTTATGTGCTTTGTTTTGTGTTGCATCGAGGCGATGCACTTTTTAAGGGGGGGAGTAATGCCGCGCGCCAAGTAGGCACAGCGGCCGTAGCACAACGGTTATCGCGCTTACCTCCCACGCGAAGGGCCAGGGTTCGATTCCTGGCCGCGGCTGCGCATTTTTGTTTACACTGTAATGTGATGTTCTAGTGAATTCGAGAATCGTCTAGCTGATTCGAGGTTAGAATGTTCTCCGCGTCGAACCTTCTACATCGAACGCTCCAGAAGCCAACGCGTGTACAAAAGCGGCTCCGCCTGGCAAGCAGGAGTCAGTCTCGCCCCAGCGTTCGACTCTGCTGCCACGCCTACTTCGACGCCCGCGACGCTCTATTATTATCTTTTGTGCTCTTTTATTTTTGGCACAAGTTCGCCACATTAAACGTTTATTTCTTTGTGTTTATTTATTGTTTATTGGACACCACCCGTGACAATATAAACTCAAGCGCAACTACTTATACACTTGAACTAAAACACATTTTCAAAATTGAAAACAAAACTCAAACTTGGAGTCGAGACTACACAGAGTAGGTAACACGTCGAAAACTATAGATTATCGATAGTAAATTGTTAATAAAATTGTATTTTAGTTAAAAAGACATATTTACGACATTAGCTCCCAGCCCCTAAAGGAACACCACATAAAGTACGAAGTATTTCCTATATTTGCATAACAAGCATATGTAGTATGCCTTGCAATCTTTCAGTTGTTTTTTTGTTTCTTCATATTGGTGCACCAGATCCAAAATGTAAATAAAAAATTAAAAACGACGTTATTTTTGGTTAAATGCTAACATCCAGCCACAACAAAGTAGTTACTGAATCCGTTGATATTAATATTGACGAAACAGTATCCAATTGCAACTGAAACATGTTTTCAGAGGAAGTAAGACATGTTAAAATACAAGCGTACTAGGCTACGTGCATATAACAAGAAACAAGTCTTTTCATTAAAACAAATACTGACAGGAAACTTAAACCAGATTTGTAATAGTCAATAATAGACCATTTTGTCTGGCGTAAAACAAGCTATAATACACATCTTTCTCACCGTGCTGATGAATATACAAGCAAAAAAAAAGCATGAGAACAGACGATATTCATTTAAATCAATGGCCCGGTCATGGATGAGCCCTGGATACTTTTCCATTTACACAGCGGATAATTAGTCTCATAAAAAAATATTTTATTTAAACCATTCTTGAGTCAAATATAAAATATTCTTAGATGGACGCGATTCTCCCCAATAACGTTGGTGGATTGATCTATATTTGTGGAAATACGCTAAAAGCTGCATATTGGATCATTCGATGCCGAAGACTTAAAGTCATGGCACATTGATGAGGGAGCTCGACAAATAATAATACATATTGTCCACTTGAGGAGTGTGATTTAATAAAAACGTAGCGAAGAATAAGTTATTGTATTAAGGAATAGTAGTTTTATTTACTAGCTTAAAATTATTTAGACTGTCCAAATGCTTGATAGTGTGTACATATTTTTTCGCGGAAAAACTTGTGCGATATTAACCTACTTAGGTTACATGTATCAGCAACATGCGATCTAACATGGCCACAGCTGAAATCAACTGTAACTAGCAAAAAGAATGATTTTGCGTCGCAAAAACCGCCACGAATTTGGGTACCAAACGCTCCGGAGCCTAAAGGATGGCAGTGTATTTTGTCTCGAACGACTACGATGAACGGAAATCTGGCTTGCCTGAATTGTACCAGTAAATCGCCAAGAAAACTGCCAAAACGTTTTTTCTATATATATATATATTGCGGCTGTTATAACATAAAAAAATGAAAAGCTAAAAATAAATTCTCAATTATGCGAACTGGTGCGTAGAAAATTATACAAAATGCATAGCGCGATGGCTACGAAAGAGCGACTTACTCCATGTTGAACAATCTGCTTTATTTATACAAACTACACAGTCTGGAACATTCTATGCAGGAACAAGGGATACGTTACAAGATGCAACCGAAACTTTCAAAAACTGCCACGAAAATAAAATTAAAGAATTATGGTGGCGAGTTTAGGAACCCATTCCATCCGGTGTGGTCACCAGCGATGCAAAATCGGTCAAAAACGTAGCAATATTTCATTATCCGAATAGGTAATTATTACGAGATACACGTCGTATTTGAGTTTAAACGTTATACGTATAGGCTTCACTCGAGAAAATAACACTTACTTGGCATGATACCCAATGGCAATGAATACGGCACTTTGAAGAAAGGTAAAGGCGTTGAGCTCCATCCCAAGATCTTAATCAAGGATCTAGTGGATAGTGCTGGAAACAGGTGTTGTTATAGCTAACGAAGAGACAGACAAGGTGTTCTTTATTCTAACAGAATTTCCATTTGACGTCATACCTCCATTGCCCGCGAAAGATTGCCGGCGACATCAACAAAATTGAAACTTTTTTTATTATTGTTACACGGAGGCGTTGCACAGTACGAAGCACTATAGAAGTACCTCTAATTTTTATTTTTTTCCATCATAGAAGCATGAGTCATAAGATCATGCAAGAAAACATGAAAGGGTATGCTGTGCTCTTACGTAGCAGTAGGAGTTAAAGAAAGTATGTGGTAAGACTATCGGTTTCGTGTAAATGCAGAGTGCAAGTTCGTCTGCCTGTTGCACAGCGGTTGCAACGACGGCAGAACGCCAACCTATTTTTGGCAGTTTGGAAAAGAATAGTGGGCAGGACCTCAAGACAGTTGGCATTGAGGCCTACCCACTATCGTTCCACTCAAAGCCAATCAGAACTTGGTGTCGTTCGGACGACAACGCAAGTCCTCTGCAAGAAAACTACGACTTGCTCTCCGCATAGCGTTGAAAATATCAACATTATTACGTAAGCTGTTTGTAACATTGTAAAATTATCGGTTCAAGTAATCGTTATCTTTTGCATAAGGTTGGTAAAAAAAATATTAATAAATTGTTTCATTTCACTTTACAACGCTAGAAAAGAGTCTCGCATGCGAATACTTCGAACGCTAAAAGCATTGCGGGATTGATTAAAAAAAACTCGAGACTCGTGACAGCATTTTCCTGAATTCACTAAGCGATATTTAAGATATTATTTTCGATACTTGAATTTTTTTCATAACGCAAGTTATATGAGAGGTGTCAGTGTATAAAAAAAGGGCCTCGGATGAATCGAAATATAGATAAGTAAACAAGCGTGTCTCCGCCAACGTCATACTAAATAGTGTCGCCAATGATAGGTCAATTCCCAAAGTAAAATGTACTCTGAAAATGTAAATACATTTCATTGTAGTAGTGGCGTTTGAATTTCCGTCCTCAAATTATATAAAATATATGTATATTGTAAGATGACGGCAGGTTGGTTTAATGAGGTCACTATGAGAATGTAGCACTGGTGATCAGTCAACAGCCACATTGGTAGGCAGTTGCACCAGATTCGAGGAGCGCGGGATAGACGAACGAAATCAGGGTTGTCCCCCTTCGTCATCATTCCTAACATTATCTACCTAAGCTGAAAAAGGGACCGTTCACCGGCAGATGTTGGGAGGGTTAATGCGATCGTTGGTGGTACGGCTTCTGTCGCTATTCGTGTACAACGTAGGTTGACTAAGATCGTTGGCCACGACGCAGGGCAAAGGGACAACCTCGTAGTTCGTAGATGAAAGAATTCGCAAACCCTTGCGGGGGCCTATAAATTGTTTCTGAAGCTTCTGGGGCTTCCCGGCGAAGAGCCTGGTTGTCCGAAGGAGTTCTTCCTCGCCACCTTTGTAAAAAAACATCAGTATGAGTCTCCGCATAATGTGAAGCTTTTGGTGTTTCTGCGACTGAAGGATATGGACTCCGGAAAGTTGCCGCGTTCTTCCTGCACCGCAGAGGATATAATCGGTGTCATCATCGAGTGGAGCTTCGTCCGCGTAAGGCAAAAGAGTATCTAAGGTGCAAGGTGGTTATTCTGCGTATACGAGCTGGAAGGGGGAGTATCCTGCCGTGGCTTGTCGCCTGGAGTTGTATGCATAAGTGATATATGGAAGGATTGTGTCCCGGTTTTTGTGGTCGTCTGCGATATACATTCTGAAATGTTGGTGAATGTGCTACTTAAACGTTCGGTCAGGCCATTGCATTGTCGGTGATACGCTCTTGTGATGTTGTGAACGGAATCGGTGAGTCGTAGAAGTTCTTGAAAGACTTGTGACATGAAAAAAACTATCGCGATCGGTTATGATGTAATGGAGGCACCGTGACGAAGCAAGATGAAATGAAGAAAAAAGTTAGCGACTTCAAGCGTTGTGGTGGTTTCTACCAACTTTGTTTTATTGTAGCGCGTGAAATATTAGACGGCTACAATTATCCAGTGGTTTTAAGTTGTGGAGTACGGGAAAGGACCGGTAAAGTCAATACTAATACGAAGAAACTTTAGTTGGGAGGCGGAATAGGACTTAAGGTTCCTGCAGGTATTTATTCCAAGTATTTATTCCAAGTAGGCTTTCTTTCTCTGGCATTCATTACATGTTTTAACATATCGTGCGAATTGTGCGCTGCATGCCGATCCGAAAGTATTTCGGGCAAATTCTGCACTATGTTTTGAAATATTCAATTTGGTCAGCGGTCTGTTCGAGGCGGGGTTTAGGCCGCACGTCCGGAGGCTTCCTGTCTCGAGACGACGTCCATTCCCCGAAGTGAAGAACCCAGGGGTCCAGGGGAGGTGGGAGACTTGGTAACGTAACGAACGGTTTAATTACATGGTAGCGATACAGTCGTCAAATCCGAGAGAACAACGGAGCAGCCTCACGCTCCGCCTTATATAGGGTCCGTTTCTCCCTCACTCCCAGCCAGGGCAGCCAGTGCGATGCAGCAACCCGCCGTCCAGTGTGACGTAGCCAAAGTTCTCCGCAGTTAGGCCATGCCTCTCTCCCTTTCCCGAGCGCACCAACCACCACGCACACACACACGTCCCGCTAACGTCACGGGCGCGTTGAGACTTGTTGCCGCAGGCCCCATCACGCAGGCGACGGTCCCGGACTTGTCGGGACTCGTTTCGCGCAGGCCCCGACAAGCGGGCGACGGTCCCGGACTCGTCTTGACTCGTTTCCGCAGCGTTGAAACTCGGAAGAAGGTCGCCGAAGGTTCCATTCTTAACAGCCCTCCGGGGCCAGGGAAACCTCGAATGGCCGGTGGTACTATCGCTGGCCTGAAGAGGTGCGCTTGGAGTAGGCCTTGAGAAGACGCTGCAAGCACTAAGCAAACTCCCAAACCTCTCACAACGGAGGCATCAGCGGAAACGTCCCCCACAACACCACGCCACTCCGCAGTCAAACGCTCGGAATCCGCCAGAGACCCGCCAGACTGGATTACGGATTACCAAAATTTGCCAAAACAATGCAATTTAAAACCTTAGGGCAATTTCGGGTATCGAGACCCGCTGTCGCCAAAGCAAAACTCATTTTTCCAAAGAGGTCACTATGAACAAAATACAAAAAGACAAAACTTCGCAATTTGTGAGGTCATTTTGGGGTTTTAACGAAGTGTCCCCACTTTGATCCTCATTCCCGTGGATGACGAAAACCTCTGAGATCATCCCTACTTTTTTTTTTTGTGATATCAGAAAAATCTGCTCAACCCATCGGCATTGCCGCTAAATTTGCCTTTCCTCTTTCTTACGCTGAAGTCATAGTGATCGATTTTGACGTGATTTCTAGACGTGAAAATGCGGTCCTTGTAGCGCCGATAAAACAATCCGCCTTTTTCATGCCCCGTCACATTGGTCCTAGCAATCTCCTGAGCAGTACCGCGAAACCCTGACACACTAGGGTCGCTCTTCTGCTCGACTGTCAGAGACACTCTGTCTACTCGCAACAGACGATCAAAGTTACGTGACGCCGGGGCTACGAGAGATCCTTTAATGATCCCGTCTTCCTCCGCCTTTTCCGCCGGCGCGTTGGGACGGCGTACGCTTTCTAGTGCTACGAGGTCGGGCTGTTCTACAACCCGGTCCCCTTCATCCCGTTTCTCTGCCTCCAACTCTGGGAGTGCTTGCTCCCAGTCAGCTGCCTTTGGCTCTGGCTCACTCTTTAACAAAGTGGCAAGCTGACGCGATTTGGACCTCGTCAACGGCTGAACCAGTCCTTCTCCCAGCTGTTGACCCCTTTCGCGCAGCAAGAAATTTGACCTGTTAGAAAACAAATAGGGATACTCCAACGGGACTGTTTGCGAGACAGCCGCCTCTGTCACTAGCTCTCCGAACGGGCCAGTTATCCTTACTCTCGCCATAGGCAGACAGACACTGTGCTTCTCGAGCAGCTGCTTGATCCAAACTACCTTTCCAGTAAAGTCGGATGTCATTACATACGACGGATGAACAACGTCCATCGTCGCTGCACTGTCACGAAGCACCCCGCACGGCTTTCCGTTTACCTGGAGCTCGTGAAGATAGGGACGAAGAAGCTCCAGGTCTCTGTCACTACCGCTCACGTACGAGAACACAACCCGCGGTTTGTTACACCTGGCAGCTGTGTGTCCCGGCTCCTGACAGTTGTAGCACAGGAACGGCTTCCTTGCCTCGAACTGCCCTTTTTGCCTTTTCCGTGCCTCGTCTCCGTTCGAGGGATCTCCGCTCGAGGGATCTCCGCTCTTTTCTGGGACCTTTTGTCCTGTTTCTGGCTTCTCGGGCCTTTTTTCTCGCGAGCCGTTTCCCTGTTGGAAGGGCTTGCGCTGATCGCTCCGGCCGGGTTCGCTGTCCTCTCCGCTCAGCTTTCTACGCGTTGCGTACTCTTCGGCTAGCTCAGCGGCCCTTTCGACAGAGTCGACTCCTACCCTATCCTGCACCCAGAGCTTGACTGACTGCGGAATGCTACGAAAGAACTGTTCGAGGCACACACACTCGACTACCTTGTCTCGGCTTTCGTACACTTCCTCGCTCTTCAACCATTCTATCAAGTTGGTTTTAAGCCCGTACGCGAATTCTGAGTAGCCCTCGCTGCTCTTTTTGGATGCGTTTCTAAACCTTTGACGGAATGCCTCGGCAGAAAGGCGATACCGCTTCAAAAGGCTCGTCTTCACCTTGTCGTAGTCGTCCGCGTCTCTAGTACTAAGGCGCGCGACAACCTCTGCAGCCTCACAGGGCAACAAAGTCAAAAGCCGTTGCGGCCACGTTTCTGGGGCGAAGCTCAACTTCTCACATGTCCTCTCAAAGTTAACTAAGAATAGGCCCACGTCTTCCCCAATTTTAAACGGCTGCAGGAGCTTCTTCATTTGATACGACTCGGCCTCACTTGCTC